CAGATTACACTGTCCACTTTTAGTATCGATCATAATTAACATACTAAGTAGAAAATTTCAAAAAAATCGCCGTTTTTTTTTTCATAGACAATTTAGGTATATATATATATATTTGTTCAGAGAAAAGATAGCCCTAAAAAAAACACATTTTCTTCTGCTATTTTTTGTATATTTTAGCTTGTTTCACCGTAAACGTGTTTTTTTTTTACTCAAAAACGCACCCCTTAAAGGGAACACTTTGTAGTTTTATCATCTTTAGAGGTCAAACTACCCCTTAGACGCAACTGCTCCATACTACCTTTTTTTTGTCTCTATTCAATAACCTATATTGTACGATCAATTATACAAACAAAAAACTACTAAGTACCGATCAAGTCGAATAACAAAACAAAACCAATTTCGAATATATATATGTATAAGTTGAACCTTTATAACAATTCGATAAATATAAAAAAATAAAAATACATTTAATATTTAAAACATTTATAAGGGTGATTCAAATTCTACGTGGGGGATGTGTACAAAAGAGAATATTAACTTTCTTTTTTCGTACATTCAGCCCTTATTTTGCAAAATTGGATTCTAAACTTCATTAAATGAAGATGGTTACGCATTCTGTTGAAAGTTATTTGAATTTGTGATTTTGCGGTTATTAAATTTTCCTGGAGTATAAAAGCCCTTAGAATTCTACGTTTCATTCATGTCATACGTAGTACGTACGTTTTTGAAAGGCGATTTTTGACAAGAGGAGAATCATTTTGTAATAAACATTTCTTTCATTTACTCCAATCGGATGGCAATGCAATATTAATTAACTCGCTTTCTTGTCTGTCTGCTTTTCTGTACAATTTTTTTTATTTTAAACCTATTCCCTATGGACTACAGGCTTGAAATTTTAAAAACACTTATCAAAACCGGATGACATTTTTACAGTTAAAAAGTATCAAAAGGCATTTAAAAAATTTAAAATGCACGACACTTTTAAGACGGACTAAAAAGTATAAAATAATAATTTCCTAGTTCCAGATTTATTAGCTTCATCCCACGCGCTTTCATTTGAAAAACAGACTTATATTAATTTTTAAATATCATACAAATTTATAAGGTTAGAAGCGTTCGAAATGTGATGTTATAGGCGGATGATGAGGATATCGTGGGTAGAAAAGGTTAGAAATGAAGAGGTATTAAAAAGAATAGGAGAACAGAGGATTCTATGGAAGTCAATAAAAAATAGGCGAGATAGGTTGGTAGGACACCTTCTTAGGCATGAAGGTCTAGTCAGAGACATATTAGAGGCAGAAACAGGAGTTAGGAGGGCTAGAGGTAGACCTAGGTTAGATTACT